AGAAGTTTATTGATGATTTAATGAGTTTTTTTTTTGTGTGGTAATTATGATGATTTAATGAGTAACTATGATGATATACTGTAAGAAAGTGGACTTGAGTCCAAGATGAATGAGCCTAAATAGCCATCATCTCGAGAATGTATGTTTGAATATACCACATTTAGAATAAACCCTTGAATTGATGTCTTTCTAGTAATACCCTCTGGCTCTGGGTTCCTTCCTCTTTTTAGTCTCTTCTTTTTGTTGTGATTCAAAGTAATCATTACATTAATTCGAAAGTAAATGTAATAGGAATTTTCCATTATCATCTAGGTAGGGTATATAGCTGCGATAATGATTGGTTCTCGCAGGACATGAATTGTCCAATTCAGCATCAAAGGCTTCTTAACCAATGAAACAAGTGTCGATGCTCTTCTGAAGCAATCACATATCTTGAGGGAAAGCTTACAACAAAGAAATGTCATCAACTTTACATGAAGCATTCACTCCAAGGGAATGCACCACTTTACCAATAACATAAAATACAAACAAACAGTAGAGATCATAGTACAACTCCACAGATCAGTGTTTTATTTTGTCCCGGTTCGATATTTGCATCCCACATCACAAGTCGCTACAACAATCACCAGATAATGAAGTCCAGGTGTCTGATCTTCGAACTAAACCACCTCAGGCAAGCCATCTGCTGGAAGTAATATAGGTTTTCAGGTAATGGAAACCAGGTGCACTGGTGAGGCAACTTGTCAACCGTAAGAAAAAGTGATGACCGGGGAGTTAAAACGTGTTTCGCGAGGGAATATTACGAGACAATAGATAAGGGCATGGTCTTGTTCAAACGCCAGGCCCTTTAGATCTAATGAATCGGTGGCTGGAGAGATATTGACTAAAAGTGGAACTGACCCATCGCAGATACAGAGCCACGCCTACAGTTGGAATCATTGGTGTTCAGGGAAAGACTTGAGAACTGAGATTCGAGATCTTTGCTTGTAGCACGTCCGTGTCTTACTGATGGTTTATGAGTTTTTTGTTGTTGTTGCTGATAAAGTACTCGTAGTCTTCCAATCTCCTTTTCCAGCACCTCCTGCTCCACTGGATAATAGAGAACTCATGAGTTGTAGTACTAACAATTATTGTAAGCTTGTTTTGTTAGTTTCTCTAGCAGCTTAATAAAAATAAGATCTACAGTAGATTTTCATACGAGTACCAATAATTTCGGTAGCCAGAGTTGAGAAATGTTCAATCTTGATAACTAGCTAGTACTTAAAAATTCATACTTCAGATTAGAGTTTGAATCTAAAGAAGCTAAAAGGATATATTTTGGATAGATGGCAGAAACTTACATTGTTTGATCAGCTTCTCTTGAGCTATACTTTCTAGTCGCTGCTTAAGAGCTTTATTTTCCATACTCAGAATAAGATTCCGCTGGTTGAGAAAATCAAGCTCAGCTGAAACTTTGGATCCTTCCGCCTGTAGATAAAAGAATGCCATACTTCAGTGCTCATATATCGTAATCTAATACATCTTTCACTAACTCTCTCATTAAATATAGGTCGTTTTTAGCCTTACCTGCAATGCTTGTACATTCCTTTCTAGCTCAGATATGTACTGGAGCTTACGGACCCGTGATCGTTGTGCAAATTGCCTGCAGGAAGCAGCAACTAACCATGTTATGACAATGGAAAATAAAGTCAACATCAAGAATCATTCCATCAGTTGAATAAGTATTCCTAGATGCAAATTTTCCTCAAGTCAATAAGACCAAGAATCAGAACATAAAGAATCAAAAAGCCAATGAGTCATTCACCATGAATATCATGCATTGTAAATGGCTTTAGATAGGTAAATCAATCAAGAATGGGTAAAGAGATCACATACTGTTTGGCTCGTTTTATATTGTCAGCCTCATACGTCACAGGCTGAGGATTGGAATTGTTTTCCTCAGAAGAGAACCTTTTAGGGTCATGAGAAAGCGTTTCCGCATAGTTGTTTGTTTCTACTGTTGCTTCTTGAGACATATATGATGCTCCCATGTTTTTCCCACAAACCCTCTCTCGAGCGGAAGGTAGCCAACAAGGACGAGCCCCAGATGCCCCCAACGAATGATTATTGTGTTTTAAAAAATTAGCATCGGAGTAGAAGGCCGCGTCCTGAATTCCCCTTTGAGTGGTATTCCTATAACCGAAATCATTTTGGAGGGTCAAACTTATGTTTGTAGCATTAGCCACGTCTAGATAAGCGTAAGAGTCACTCGATGAACGCCGATGACCGCATTTGCGAGCAGGGCTGTCTGGCTCATTGAGAAGATGATCAAGCCAAAAGGGAAGTTCTTCTACCAAATGGCTCTCGGAGGAAGTCCGTTGGTGGTGTGTTTTCTCATCACTAAGCTTTTGACCGTGCCTCGAACCAATGAAACCACTGGGAATATACTCGGAATACGGTGCTGATACGCTATGAAATGGTATTTTTGGAGGGAGCAAAGCATGCTTTCCTGGATACATCACACTCTGTGATCCTTTGGAGCTAGCCATTGCCACCCTTTGCCTGCCCAAATTATATCCGAAAGAAATCATTCTTTTGAGCCATTAAAAATTATATTTCTGCTTGGCTTAAGAATCCAATAGCAGAAATCGCAAAGAAACAAGTAAGAAGGTTCATGAAATTAAGCTAAAAGTGGGAAACAGTCGATGATTGATTCCGTTAAACGAAGAAGAAAATCAAAACGAAAAAGTAACTAACCAGTCGGAG